GTAGCCATTCAGAGGGTGGTTCCACCAATGCCTTTTCACTATTTTCATCCTCACTGGAAAGAATTCTCTCAACTTGTCCAGGTGGCCTTTGTCTGCTCGACAAGGACACAAATTGCACTAAAAAACACGCAGATATTCTAACCCATCTTGAAAACCTAGGATAAATATTTTTTCAGGGGCTTCACTGATACTTAAATACATTCGCTATGTTGCCATTTCCTGATAGTTATCTTGCATATAGAGAAATGAAAATTAAGAATGGCCATCAAAAGGGAAAAAGGGAACAACCTAAGAGACAACATAAAGATTAAAGAAGAAGTAGGGCTTTTTGGCCTTACTTCTGTGGGTTACAGGAGTGCACTTCGGGCTAAAGGCCACTTTCGTCTGACATCACTGAGCAGCCCAGGGTCTGGAATTATCCCAGCTTTAAAGTCAGGATCCACTCAGATTCCTGACTGGCAAATGGCTCAGCCTGTCAGCGAGCTGCTGAGAGCCTGAACCAGCCACTACAGCCCTTTCTACAGCCCGGTGCTCCAGCAAGTGCTGGAGGGGCAGAGCAGAGAGCTGTGACTGACAGTCATCTGGTTCTCTGTTTACTGAAGACTAATAACTGAGCAATCTTTGCGGTTTTTGATCACTTAGTTCTTGGTCTTGCAGATGAAGGAGGACCGATGTTGCCTCTACCTAGGTATGGGTATTTGTTTTTTTTTTTAATTTCTGAACTTTTTTAATGTTTACTAGTACTAGGTAGAATTGTTCAATCCTGAATTATGACTATATCTTTGGGTGCCATTTTTTCCAATCTCTACATTTTATCTTAATAACACTGTTCAACAGGTAAAAAGTTTTGGGCATAAAATTAGCTAATCTTAGATAATTTTGGGGTGCTGAAAACGAAAATGACCCTAAAAAATGTTGATTGGCTCTAGTTTCCATGATATATTCACCCATCTAATGACGTAAGCCATTCAAAATTATGATGCAACTTCAGCTGCATATTGCGCAATTGATACTGGTGACCAATAGAAAATTGCATGTATACTGCGAGATGATGCAATATTAGCCTTTCATTGCATCACTTCACTGCATAAAAGCTGCAGTATCTGTAGCTGATTGTAGTTCGACAGCGTCTTTACATTTCGTTTTATGCTTATATAGGCTACTCGGTAATGCCTCGAACTTGTGTGAATAAAGCAGATAATTTCTGCTATATCTGCGGTGAAATAACTTTTATCTCACAAAAAAGGAGGATAACAGGAATGATTAAGAAAGCCTACAACTTGTATTTTGGCTGCAAGATAGGAGACCAGGACAAGAGCTGGGCACCACATATATGCTGCAATTCTTGTGGGACGGCACTGGAGCAATGGTTGAATGGAAAAAAGGCATCTATGCCTTTCGCTGTGCCAATGATTTCGAGAGAGCCAACAGATCATGTTAGTAATTGTTACTTTTGTATGGTGCCTCCAGTTGTAAAAGGGCTAAATAAGAAGAAAAAGTTATCTGTGCACTATCCAAATATTCCATCGGCAATACGTCCAGTTCCTCATGGAGAGGGGCTACCAATTCCTAAAGCACCAGAATCCTTCGTGGTTGAGTCAAGTGAGGAAGAACCTGAAGCGTGTAGTCACGTTCAGTTGTAAGAGATAGCCCTTTCCTCGAATACAAGAGAAAAGCCAAGAGAAGCAAAACCGACACAAACTGAAGACAAAACTAGTGAGAATCCTAAGTATTAAAATGATTCAACTTAGCTTATGGCTATAATTTTTCTTGGTAATCCTATGCAATATATTATGCCATTTAGGCTTTGTTATGTAGTCAATATCACTTGCTTTATATTTGTGGAAAGACATCTATCTATATAATTATTGTGCATTATGTAGTCATTACGCCTATAGTAGAAAACTTTCCGTTTACAGAAAAACTAGAGCCAATTGACAAATTTCATTGTTATATTTGAACTCAGAATGTGAAATTCATTAAGAAATGGATCCTTTTGTTTCCAAAACTGGCAAAAAATACAAATTTGTTGAACAGTGTAATCGTATCAATTTTCTCATGATGGTGTTTATTCTATTTATAACATTATTTATTTTAAAGGGAAGATGCTTTCCATCTAATCCAAATATAAAAACCTGTAGATGAAGATATGTTAGATTCAGTCTTATTCAGAAGGACTGAACCTGCCTAACATGGCTGGTGTTGGGCAAATCGGGAGACACATAGCATTGTTATATGGGATGGGGGAGTGAATCTCGTGCTCTTCTATACTCCAAAATGCTGGGTATTTCACTGTGCTCCCTCATTCAAATGGAGTGGTGGGAGAATGAGAAAAGATGAGTGCATGCTGTTGAAGAAATGTGGGGGATAGAATGTACTTTTTCTTTCCCCTGCATTGGCAATTTGTCTTAAGTTGTCCAAAGCCTATGGACAACACTTCAAGGTAATTCATTCTTCTATATTCCAGAATAGAGCCAGGGGAATAGTGTGCTTTTTCTGTAGTGATCGGAATTTTTTTTTTTTCCTTTATGCACTAAATATATCTTTGTGGACCTTGAGTTGTGGATAAATCTATACATGTCAGCGTGCATGTCTCATGTTATTGATTTCTGTGAGGCAGGTTTTGTCTCCTAAGTTTCCATTTTATCAGCCATGGATGCTACTAAATTTGGAACATGTTACTTAACTTACTTTCAGAGAGCATTATCTAGTTGACTTTTTGAATAACTATTCCACACAAAGTGATTGTTTTCAATTGAAATGTTATCTGGGCCAGGGTAACCATTGTTCCTTGCTGGACCAGTCTGTGAGCTGGAAATATCATCTCGGAGGGTTTGTTGTATAATCGCAGGACTGTAGGGTCGAAAGAAATGACTCTCTAGTGCCTCAAAGGGGTCAGTGCCAGGAAGAAATGAGGGAATCAGATGTATTAATGGCCATGGCATAAAATGTTGATGATGCAGCCCTCCTCAGACTAGGAGATCAAACTGGAACTGGAAAAGAGCACAGAGGTGGAGCAAACACCTAGCGAATTATCCAAGGTTTATTTAACATTGTAAAAACAGAAAGCATACTCACAAAATGAGGTGCATGAAAAAGCTCAAGGCTCTGAGGGGGACACGTCCTTGAAAGGTGTATTCCGACCTCACCGCCAGTCAGACACTCTGCCATCATGTTGGGCCAGTGGCTTTATAGGCTGTTTTATGCACCTCATTTTGTGGACTTTAGGGTCTCTTGGGACAACTGTAGGGATAACTCTGGTAATCTTAATACAAGATTTGAACACAATCACTGCTGGTGGCTATAGTCGCTTGCAGTGATTGCATGCAAAAAATCTGACAAGCTGGATGTACTGAAGCTGATCGATGAATCGACTTCAGTACAACTATCCTGTTCATAAATAGATTACATTTTGTCCGGTCCCTGGTAAACTGGCTGAGATTTGATCCATCTATGGCTGGCTTTACTATATACAGACCACCAAATATTTACTGCAGGCTTCTGGGCATCCTGTGAAACAGGTTATGTAGAGATTGCTGTGGATTTGGTGAATCCTGGAATAGGATTATCAAAGTCCTCTGAAGTATTTCTACTAATAAGGCTAGACAGTTTCCTGTGGTTAGTCTTGCAATAATACTATTCAGAGGCTGACATAGTAGTGTTAATATCCTGTCCTGTTTGATCCTAAATCATAGTTTTTTAAACCTATTGACTTTTTTTGTTTTTGCTTTCTTTTATGACATTTTTTGATGCAAGAATGCAATTAACAAATGGCCACAACATTTGGCCAGTAGGACAATACAAAATTGAAAACATACAGTTTGTTATTATAGTATGAGAACCAGGTATCGCTACTCAGTAAAAGGATGGACATTAAGACACAAAAAAAAAAAAAGATGGATGGCGGTTGGTCTAACAACTAGCAGATAATGGAATGAGGAGAGGCTTTAGCTGCTAAAGCATAAAATATATTTTTAATTTTAATTGGAGGGTAGGATATCAATCCTATTGACTGGTTTATCACCAAATATGTGATAAAAATATAACATTTTCCACAATTGCCAGCTATAGCTGGCAGCACAGATCATTCAGGAAAAACCTGACAGGCTGGTTGTATAAAGGTTGATTGATAGATTGTCTTGTGTACAACCAGCTTTCCCATATGTGGATTGAAATTCAGATGGTCCTTGCTGAACCGACTAAACTTTGAACCAAGTATGGCCGGCTTAAAGCGGAGCTCCACCCAAAAGGGGAAGTTCGGCTTTAAGACTGCTCTCCCGCTCCCCATTAAGGATTGGCACCTTTGGGGGCGGGGGGGAGTGGGTACCCGAATTTGACAGGTACCCGCTCCCACTTCCGATCCGATCGCCTAGGCAATCGGAAACAGAAGGTGTCTTCCCTCCCTCCCTCTAGTCTTTTGGGACACGTGACAGGTCCCAGAAGACTACAGGACCATTCATGAAGCCAGGTGACCACACTGAAGATGTTGGCCTCCAGGAATACAGAATGGCCAGTGAAAAGTGCTGCGGGGGACACACCGTGGGATTGAGGGACAGGTAAGTGGCTGTTTTTTAAAAGTTAGCAGTTACAGTTTTTGTAGCTGGTGACTTTTATTTTTTGACAGGGTGAGTGGAACTCCGCTTTAAGCTAAATCACTCTTCTTATTCCTATCTGGGAGGTAACCTCATTCTCTCTACTGCAACACATGAGAAGTTCAGGCTAAGGACCACCAATGTGTGTCTGCACCAAATGCAAGAAACCAAAAAGTGGTAGTTACTTAAACCAATGTATAACTAGCAATAGAAAGATGTACATGGGTGACACAATACTCTGAAAATCACTGAAATTCATAAGCACCTGATTCTGCTGAATCAAAGTCTGGGAATTTGTTTCTTTTTGTATTTCGATTTTCCTTCATTTTAGCTATCTAACTATAATAATAAGTATATGTTATTGTGCTTTTCAGCTCATCATTGACACACCAACTAGTCCGATAACCAGTGGTCTACCACTTTTCTTTGTCATCACTGTGACTGCAATTAAACAGGTAGCTAATATGTATCACATTTTAATTCAGAACTTCTGTTTAATTAAATTAATTTTTATAACTGATGGTCTGCTTTTACCTTAATTTACTCCATTATTTATTTCTGTGTAGGGCTATGAAGATTGGTTAAGGCACAAAGCTGACAATGCAATGAACCAATATTCTGTCCATGTCATCCAGCACGGCAAACTTGTCCGAAAGCAAAGCCAGAAACTAAGAGTGAGTTCAAGTGCAATATACAGAGTACATGCTTCATAATATTCTACACTTGGTTTCTACAATCACTACAGGTCTATATTTTAAAGATGGCAACAAAAATATATTTGTCTCTGATGCCATCAGTAAACATAAGATGGTTGTTGGACAATCTGACCACAAGAACTTTATTGCATATGATGTGTGTGTCTCTCTGTCTCTCTCTCTGTCTCTCTCTGTATGTGTGTGTGTATATAGTTTTTTGTTTGTTTTTTTTCGCAGGAGAAAGTCTGTTAACCACATATTTAGCGCTATCAGGGCAACTAAAGCAGTTGTCCAATGAATTCCTATACAATACCTATTCTTCTCAACATCAGTTGGCCAGGTGGAGTCCTTAAAGTAGAACTAAAGGAACAACTTTTCTTCTTTTTCATTTTGGATAGCGTATGGGAGCGTTATAACACCTGACTTTTTTTTTTTATTTGTGGACTATTGAGGAGATTTCCCTTCACTTTCTATTCCATTGCAAAAACAGAAATAAGAGGAAATCCTTCCAAAGTGAGGGAATCCCAGAACTAGTGTCCCCATGGAAAGATTTGCCCTCTATTAGTCTTCTGGTGTCCGCCCAAAATCTGGGATTTTGATTAATGTTCATTCTCGATGATTTCGTAAACAGGGCAAATAGAGAGGGTGAATCTCACTAACGGGAGCACAGATAGTAATAAAAATCTGAACAGTGCTCTAATCCCTCTCCACTCCATCCAAAACCTAAAAAAAAAGTTTTGCCTTTAGTTACACTTTAGGATTGCTATAAGTCATAGACATGCCATCATTTTGCAATCCAGTTAGTACTGGCTGTATTAGGCATCAATCTTTTATTAGCCCTAGAAGAGAGCTGATCCGAAGACTAAAACCTTTTTAACATAACTATTAGATGTTTGGGTCTTTACATTGTAGATACCATATATGTCAAAAGAAATAAAAAGATCTTGCAGGTGCATTCCCTCGGTTCAGGACTGGAAAAAGGTTACATTTAATGTAATTTTTTTTTACAGCTATATAATTGTAAAAATATTTAAACTGCATTCATAGTAACAATATCACTAAACATACAACAAAGAGCTAAAAAGATGTCACATGTACAGAGGCTAGTCATCATCAGCTAAATATTTATGTAAGAAATGTGACTGTATTCACTATGTGTGGTAGGTCCATTCTCAATATAAGCCTGGCTGTTTAAAGAAAAAACAACAAAAAAAAACCCAGCACAACAAAGTTCAACCCACAAAAAAAAGTTAAAAAATTCCAGTAAAGTAATTTATTACTCCCAATATGAATAGTCTCTGATTAAAGGCTCCACTTTTAACTCTAGCCCTTATTTGTAGGAACAGGAGTGTGTTGTAGTTAAGTTCCCTTTGCAATCCCACTAATGTGTACTTCATTAAAGTTTAATGGTTCATGGAATATTTTATACTTATGCGAGTTACTTTACTCTCAAGGTTGGAGACATTGTAATGGTGAAAGAAGATGAAGTTTTTCCATGTGATATGATCTTGCTTTCCTCAAGTAGAGAAGATGGGACATGTTTTGTTACAACAGCAAGTTTGGATGGAGAATCCAGCCACAAAGTGAGTTCAAATGTCTACTTTTTTGTTCTGATATGAACTGCATTTGTGACACCATATGTAAAAAGGAAAAAAGTTATGCAATACTTTTTAATATCACAACAGAACGCCAGACGTTTTTTTTTTTTTTTGCTAGAGTTGGTTTTGAAGGGATAACACCTCTTTCAGGTTTTGTATTGCTATCTGAGTACACTTCCTGTCCCAGGAACATTACAGGACAGTCCCTACTCGAGATAAGTGAAGGTCCTATCTTTAACAGTTGTCTGCAATGAAGGGTTTCCCCTCTATTCTGGTGCTGGTAACCACCTTAAAAAATGTGACTTTCTATTCCATTGAGAATGATCATCAAGACAAAGAGTCATGTTGGATTCCCCCAGCAGGGACACAGACAGCAAATAAAATCTGACTGTAGTTCACTCTTCCCCACTCCAACCCTAAGAAAAAGTTTTTGTGTCTGGAGTTCTACTATACAGTGAAGGAAATAAGTATTTGATCCCCTGCTGATTTTGAATATTTGCCCACTCACAAAGAAATGATCAGTCTAAAAATCGAGTGGTAGGTGTATTGTAGCACTGACAGACAGAATAGCAACAAAAAATTCAAAAGAAATGCATGTCTAACAACAAATGATGCACTGATTTGCATCTTCATGGAACTACCTTGGTGAGGCAGACCAAGTACCTTGGTGAGAAGGGGACAAGTTGGTGCAATCATTTGCAAATGGAAGTAACACAAAACAACTGTAAGTCTCCCTAGGTCTTGTGCACCATGCAAGATCTCACCTCGTGGAGTGTCAATGATCATGAGAACAGTGAGGAATCATTCCAGAACTACACGTGAGGATCTTGTCAATGATCTCCAGGCAGCTGGGACCACATTCACCAAGAAATCAATTGGTAACACACTACACCGACAAGGATTGAAATCCTGCAGTGCCCGTAAGGTCCCTCTGCTCAAGAAAGCACATGTCCAGGCCCGTCTGAAGTTTGCCACTGAACATCTGAATGATGCAGAGGAGGACTGGTTGAAAGTGTTGTGTTCAGATGAGACCAAAATCAAACTCTTTGGCATCAACTCAACTCGCCGTGTTTGGAGGAGGAGGAATGCTGTCTATGACCCCAAGAACACCATCCCAACTGTCAAACATGGTGGGGGAAACATTCTGCTTTGGGGATGGAGTTTTTCTGCTAAGGGGACAGGACAACTGCACCGCATCAAAGGAACGATGGACGGGGCAATGTACCATCAAATCTTTGGTGAGAACCTTCTTCCCTCAGCCAGGGCATTGAAAATGGGTCATGGATGGGTGTTCCAGCATGATAATGACCCAAAACACGGCCAAGGCAACAAAGGAGTGGCTCAAAAAGAAGCACATTAAACTCCCTGGCGGTATTCCCGAGTGTAGCTTGGGGTTAATTATCAGTGCCAAAAGCAGTGAACCCAAGCAACACTCGGGATTACCCTGCAGTGTTGCTCAGGGATTCCCAGTTTCACTTACCTTGTCCTGCGCTCCTGCGATGTGTCTCCTGCAGCGTCCCTGGCCATCTCCTCTGGCTGATGCCGGCATCCGTCTTCCGGTCCCTGCGAGTTTTGGGACGTACGGGGGCCGGAAGCGGCGGAAAATTGAAACATTTTAAAAAGTGACATGCACTAAATACACTAAAATCACATAGTAAAAACATTACTGTTTCAAAGCATTTCACATACATTTTGTCCCTTCTGCTTTGTCCTGTGCCCTGCCTGCATTTTTACTGTTCTTTCTGCCTTGAAACTGAGAAAAGTCCATGGCATCCAAAAAGAGTCCCTTTATGTCAAAAGCGGTTTTAGACCAGCTAGAGAACAGCGATAGTAAATTAGAAACACTTGCAGAATTGAATGATAATGATTTGTGGGGAAATTCGTCATCAGACACTGAAAACGATTTTGTGACTTTGCTCAGTGATGTGCGAACTTGGCGCTATATTTCAAATTTCAGTGTTTTTGGTTTGATTATATTATTGATTTAAATTTATTATTATATTATTATTTTTTATGATTATGTATTATATTATAATTTATGATTTTGTGTTTCAAACTTTATCATACCCGGGATGTTTACTAGACTCTTGTTTGGACAGATTTCAGTGAGTTATTCCTAAAAATTACAGCCTACAATAAAAAAAGACATATTTCCATGCAAAAAAATGTACCGCTTTCAGCACAGAAATATTGACATCATACTGCTAGGGAGGTTAAGGTCCTAGAGTGGCCTGGCCAGTCTCCAGACCTTAATCCGATTGAAAATCTGTAGAGGGAGCTGAAAGTTCGAGTTGCCAAACTTCAGTGACTTGGAGAGGATCTGCCAAGAGTAGTGGGCCCAAATCCCTCCTGAGATGTGTGGAAACCTGGTGGCCAACTACAGGAAACGTCTGACCTCTGTGATTGTCAACAAGGGATTTGCCACCAAGTACTAAGTCATGTTTTGTGAAGGGGATCAAATACTCATTTCCCTCATGAACATGCAAATCAGTGCATAATATGTTAGACATGCATTTCTTTTGAATTTTTTGTTGCTATTCTGTCTCTCAGTGTTACAGTACACCTACCATTCAATTTTTAGACTGATCATTTCTTTGTGAGTGGGCAAACATTCTAAATCAGCAGAGGATCAAATACTTATTTCCTGCACTGTATGTCAACTTTAGCTTTTCCAGGCTTCATTTGCTCTTGTTGAGTTGATGCTTGCTTTGTCTCCATCTTTGTCTCCTTTGTCACTAACCTAGATTAGTATATTTATTTTTGAGTAAAATCACCACTGAATGCTAATAAATATAGTTTACAAGTGCAAGTATCTGTCAAATATCTGTTTCACTTTAGATGTTTCTGTTGCACATTACTGTACTGGGCCACAGTAGATACAGTACTTAAACACAATCTATTAAAACAGGCATTTCTGCCATTGATCCCTTTTTTTTTTTGCAGTACTAAAGTGTACTGTAGAAGAGCATGTTTTAAAGGATAAGTTCACCTTTCCACAAAAAAATAATAAATGCACATGCAGGTAAAAAAATGTGCATTTTTTATTTTTTGTGTTAGGAGCCTTTAAAGCATTGCACCACTGATCAGCAGATTACTGATGCCATGCAGGTCTGATTACTGTCAGTGTATCTGCTTGCTAGTACATCCCTGACAGGAAGAATCAATGAACTACCACAGCTCTGCACAGCATCCTGGTAGTTCAGTGAGGACTACAAGCTGACAGACGCTAAGGCTTGTAGTCCATTTATTCACAGAACACTGTGAATGAATGACGTGGCTGTGTGGGCAGAGCCCCGCATGGCTGTGCTTTTTTTTGAAATCTGACAGCTTATACAGGAAACTTCTCCCCATGCTTCTGTCACAGGGAGGGGGTAAGGGGGCAGCGGCTGCAGGGTCGGGAACATGTTACATATTCCACAATAAAAAAACGGGTGGAACATATAACATGTTTCCAAAGGTGAACTTATTCTTTAAAGTCTTTGTAAACACATTTTTTTTTATTAGTTTTAGATAAGAGTAGCATAGGGTTAGACTCTCTGCCAAATTTTTATTGCAGTGTGTTTACCTGCCGGAGGGATTTATTCCTTGTTTTGTCCTGGTGGTCATTGTTACTGAGACAGAGAAAAACAATTGGAAATTCTAAATTTTAGAGTTGTCGTGAGAGCAAGAAATGAGGGAAATCTTCTAAAAGGAACAAATGTTATGGTCTAATGGTCTAAATCAAAAATTCCCCTCCCTTTGGGGGGTGGGGGGTTCCTCTTACTTCCTACTTTCTCTCAGACAAGAAGTGCAGCAAAATCTCCCCAGCAGACAGTAAAAAAAACTGTTAGGGGTTTTAACCCTTCCCTATTCATACTAAAATGAAAATGTTTGGCTACTGTATATACACATTTTAAAATTATTCTAAGCCTTTGGGGTTTTTTTTTAATAACAAACATGTCATACTTACTTGCTCTGCAGTGGTGTGGCATAGAACAGCCCTGATCCTCCTGTTCTGGGGTCCAGTGGTGTATTTAGGTTTTGTGCTGCCCTAGGCAACACAAAAATTGGACGCCCCCCCTCCCCGGCAGAGAGAGAGCCTGACACCAACTAACACCAGACATAAATCCCCCCGCCCTCCTGCACGCGCGGAGAGCCTAACAGTGATCAACCATACCCCTGCCCCACCCGAGAGAGCCTTCCACTAACACCCCCCCCAGGGAAACCGAGAGAAAGACACTCACCTTCACAGCTTTGGACATCCCTGGGAACGACAGTTGTGCTCTGCATACACCATCAAGCAGCCTATAGCCTCTCTCAGATCCAACCTGGTCCCCATGCCACATATGTCCCTTCTTCCAGGGGGCAATGTTGCCCCCCTAAAAATAATTCTGCCCTAGCAAATGCCTTGTTTGCCTTGTGGTAAATACGCCACTGCTGGGGTCCCCTACAGGCACTTCCAGCTCCTCCTCTTCGCCGATTGCCCTCATAGGAAGGCGCTACCTTTGGCACAGTGCTGGATCGAGATCGGGCTCCGGTAAGTATTTAGGGGCTTCTGTGCACAGAATGTATTTTACCTCAATGCAGAGAATTTATTAAGGTACAAAACCTAAAGCCTTTAGAATCACTTTAAGGAAGAAATTTTCATTTTTATTATGATATGCCGAATCATTTGGGAAAATGGCGTGCTAAACTAAGCTGATGAAGGTGTATTTAGTTTAGTTCTACACAACTCCTTTATTTCAACTAATTTTTTGTACAACAGAACTTTTTGTTTTTATTGGACCACATATAGCCACCCTAACATCTGTATATTTACATAATACTATATTACTGCTTGGACAATAGTGAATTTTTGTGCTCTGTCGTTATGTAAGGTGACCAAACATCTGACAATCTTTTTTGCAACCAAGATTATTTTAGGTTCACTATTGAATACTTATATACATGGAAACAAAATGTGTACAAAATTTACATTTCTTTTCCCCATGCTAGACATATTATTCTGTTCAAGATACAAAAGCGTTTCACCATGAGCAAGATATGGACACTCTGCATGCAACCATCGAATGTGAACAACCTCAGCCTGATCTTTACAAGTAAGAATCACTATTACTAGGGAAGAGGAGGCCATTCATCTGCATCATAGAAGTTTCAAACCACATTGAAACAATGTAGCTGTGGGTTCCTATTTGGTACTTTATGCACAGGAAGGGGGTCAGTTCCTATCCTTCAGTTAGAAGTTCAACCAAAACTATTTTTTCTAGTTTTGGATAGAGTGTGGAAGAGTGTTTTCTGCTGTCAGTTGAGAGATTCAACCTCTCTTTCTGCCCTGGTGTCCATTGTCTTGGACAGAAAGTGATGGGAAATTCAAAATTATATGGTTGTCACCAGAACGGGGCTAGAATGAAAATCTTTTGCCGATCACTCATAATCCTTTATTCCCGCCAGTCCTAGAACATCCCTCTTCTTTCTCCTGGTGGACCTCCCATGGCTTTGTTATTGTACAAGATTTTCTGAGCACTCATACGCTTCCATCTTGGGAGTGTCTTCGAGAATCCAGGGGGGTCCCGCCATGGGAATATTATCGGTATTTGCAATTACACCACTGGGTCCTATCCCTCCATCGTACCTCTACATATCCTTACCGCAAAATGCCCTTTGAGCACGCTTGTCAGCATTCCCCAGGGTTACCTGGCCTTATTTCGGTAATATATGCCTCCCTTAAAAGTAGGTCTTCCTCATCGCCCCTGTCTTATGTTTCTCAGTGGGAGCGAGATCTGGGTGTTTCGATTGAGGCGGAGGATTGGCGTAAGGCCTGGGGGATGGTAGTGAAATGTTAATTTAATACAGTCACTCTTGAAGCAGCCTACAAAGTTCTACTATGGTGGTACTGGGTCCCGGCTCGGACTGCTCACTTTAATCCGACGGGGGGAGATAGGTGTTTCTGGAACTGTGGTCTACGTGGCGACATCTTGCACATTTGGTGGTTGTGCCCGCGAATGATTGGCTTCTGGTCTAGGGTCTTTGGTTTGGTTCAAACGCTATTTCATATTACGGTCCGTAGGGATGCAAGGGTGCCCTCCTGCATTGCCCAGTTTTGGGTCTGTCTAGGTCTCAGCAGGAAATTGGCATCCTACCTATTCATTTCGGCTAAACGTACTATAGCTCAAGCTTGGAGAACCCCTTCAGTAGTCTTTCAAGGGGTGAGGACTCGGATGAATGCTATGTTGTTCAATGAGCAGATGTCTAGCATTCTTCATGATTCTCATCCGAGATTCCTTAAGGTTTGGGAACCTTGGATATGCTATTCCTTACCATCCCTGCCTCCTATTAGTTATGGCCTCCTTTAGTCGCTGCTGGTGCTAGCCCTGGATCCGTGATCCCTTTAGTTTCCCTTTTTTCATGTTTTCTTTCTGATTCCCTTTTTGTTTTCTTTTCTTTCTCTTCTAACTTCCTTTCTTTTCTCTTTTTTCCAATATTATGTTGGATTACTGCTGCTATTTGGCTCGGCTGTTTGCCGTCCCTTCTTGATGTCATCAGACTTTTTGTTATTTGACTAATACCAGTCAGCAGGATATCCCTGTTTATATGTTATTGTTCTGCTCTGCCCCTGCGCGGGCGTATTTTGAGCTTGCTATATTCTTAAAAATCAAAACTTTCTTAATAAAAATATTGAAACAGAAAAATTATCCAAAATTGTATACAAGCCAGCAGGTGGAACAAGCCTGCCTTTAAGTTACACAAAGCAACAAGTTTTCATTGTGCACCATTACGACCTTCTACCCACTGGCATCCTGACAACCAATGACATCATCAGTTGATAAGGAGGATGTCAGCTACATGCACTGCATCCTAGTTTGACCCTCCCCTGCCCCTCTTTGTCAGTACTGGTGTCACTGACGGAGAAAAACTGAGGGAGAAGAGAAACACTGAAATGCTAGTCAGTACCAGTGTGCAAAAGTGTATTTGCTTTGGAAGAATAAATCACCTCTAATGTTGGGTGTCCTACATGCGTGGATGTTGTTGAGTTATATAAAACTATTAGAATAGTTTTTCAAATTTTAGAACGGGGTGCCTCAAGATTGTCCATAATTTTAAAGGGTGCCTTGAATGAAAAAAGGTTGAGAAACACTGCTCTAGTCCATTCTGAGCTAAAGACATACATTTGGGTTGAATTATACTTAAAGTGAACAGTGTCAGACTTTGAACATAAAAGTCTATTTGTATTCTAAAAAGTGTCAAAAGAGCTTTGAACAGCCCTAAAATATTAATTTCAAAGATCCTCAAAGATCACAACGACAGCTATTAAGTCAGTTGTCATTCCAATTCTAACAGCTTAGAAACACCTACTGTGTGTTTATATCTGGTGCGTAACCTGGCAGCCTGTCAAGATTCTGTTTTCATAGATAAAAGCTGTATTTTCTGTATCTCTATTGTGAACTTCTCTACCATGTCTATAACTACAGAGGTGAGTGAGTATTAAAGTACTTCTGGTGCAGAATATCTACAACTTTTATGGCTCATTCTTGGCACTTTAAAGTGTTACTAAACCCAGGACCCTGCATTCACTATATCTGGTCACCTACAGTACACATAACATCAAAATGCAATTACTTTAGTAAATATAAACTGCTAAATACCTTTTCTCATCAGCAGTTAGAGCAGTCTTGTGACTTATATCAGTGTTCAGCAGAGCACTGGTTAAAGCTTCTTGGAGGAGCTTTATTTCTTCTCTAGGATGATGCAGAACCCCTGACTTCTGTCTGGACAGTGTTGAATAGCCTTGTGCTGAACACATGCACTCTCACAAGAAGAAAAAAACCACACTCTAGCAATACACACCAAACTGAGCATGTGCAGAGTGTCTGCACAAGATGTGCCTTATCAGGAGATAAGAGGGGGGCACTGGAAGAAGGGGAGGATCAGATAAGTCAGGAGCAAACAGCCTTTTTTGCACAATGCAAAGGATGAACCCCTTAGGTTCTTCAGTGAGTATAACAAGCATGCTTTACTGCATATACAGACTGATTTTACTGTTTTGGGTTTAGCAACACTTTAAACTTTCTTACATTTTCTAAACTGCAGTAGGAAATCAGTGTTGGAGTCTTATTGGCTTCTTTTTAAAGAATACTTTTGTTGTGCGTGAAATCACTAGAACATAATTTGAATTAACCGCTTCCCTGCTGCTCTATAGCAAAAATATTGCCACAGGACGGCAGGGGTGCACAAAATCACATATATATATACATGATTTTGCATTTCTGGGTAGGGCCCTGCCATTCATGGCCTTGGCTGTCAATCACTGAGTCCCGGCCGGTGATTACATTTCGGCACCTGGTGATCGCTGTGTATTACTGACAGGGGAGAGAACTGTATGTAAACAATACAGTTCTCTCCCGTCAGCTCCAGCACACTGCTTTATATGGCTCTGCATAGTAGAGCCACACAAAGCAGTGTGCTTACAGTGGAAAGTACAGATAAAGCCCCATAGTAAAAGACACACGGCACACAGTTAACCCTTTGATCGCCCCAGATGTTAACCCCTTCCTGCCCAGTGCCATTAGTACAGTGTCAGTGCTTTTTATTAGTGACACCAAGTCAGTTCCCCCCCTCAGTGTCAGAATGCCCGTCGCAGTCCCGCTATAAGTCGCTGATCGCTGCCATTACTAGCAAAAAAAAAAAAATTATATCTATACTGCCATTTGTAAACGTTATAACTTTCACATAAACCAATTAATTTACACATACTGGGATTTTTTTTAGCAAACATATGTAGCAGAATACATTTTGTCCTAAATTTATGACTAAATTTCACTTTTTTAAAAATTGTTATTAGACATGTTTAATAGCAAAAAGTAAAAAATATTGTTTTTTTTTCCCCTAAAATTGTCAGTCTTTTTTTGTTTATAGCGCAAAAAATAAAAAATGCACAGGCGGCAAATAACACTGAAAGAAAGCTCTATTTGTGGGGAAAAAGATTACGTAAATTTCATCGGGGTGCAGTGTTGCATGACTGCGCAATTGTCAGTTAAAGTAACAAAGGTCTGTAAATCAGAAAATGGCGTGGTCAGGAAGGGGGGTAAAGCCTCTGGAGGGCAAGTGGTTAATATTATTATTATTATTATTATTATTAATAATAATAATAATGCTGTTACAACATTCAAATTACTCTATATAATTTTAATATTTTCTTATGTGGTGCTTTTTTTTTTTTTTTTTAGGTTTGTTGGTCGAATAAATATTTATAGTGGAACAGAAGACACTATTGCCAGGTTAGTGCTGAAACATTTTCCACTAAATTCTACAGTTCTGAATTGTATTTTTTATATATTTCAATTTATTCTTGCTTTATGTGATTGTTTTTTTTTTTTTTTTTTTTTTTTATATCTTTCTTTAATTTTTAGGCCTTTAGGGTCAGAGAACCTGCTGCTTCGTGGTGCTACACTGAAAAACACAGAAAGGGTGTTTGGTAAGTTGAATAGAATATTTTCTGAGTAAATTGATAATGTGGTCCAGGATACTTTGTCACCATTGTACACTACAGTATACATAACAGGTATCCCTCTTCTGGAGAGAGAGAGAGTGAGTTCCTCTTTTTGGGTCATGTATCACCTGCCCTTATTCCTTTATAACTGTCCTTTTGGTTAGCTTTTAAAAGTGTTTTTGCTCTTATAAAACCTTGTTTACCCTGTAAATCATTGAATTTCTTGTTATCAGACACCCATATTAAAGCAAAAAAATAATCTTGCCCTTTGCCCATAACCAGTTTAATGATTATTTTCTAACTTCAGAAATATACATGGCCGTTATCGGCAGAAGAACTTTTTTAAAACACAAGTATTTAAGGGATTTGTGTTTTGTGATATTTTTTCCTTTTGCTAGGGACAATTCTCCTATATCACTTTACATTAATATGTTGAAAGTCAAATAAATTAGTATTCTGTATGGAGTGAAATGTTATTTCACTATTTTTCCCCCACTATTTTTTAGAATTACACTATAAAGAGAGACCCCTAGGTAGGGTCACACAGTCACAATGAAAGAACAACAAACAGGGTAGTGAATTGAGGGCAAGACCCTCACAATATATTGCACAACGGGTTGCCCCAAGCACTCAGCCAGCTAAGTAGCCAAAGAGGCAAGCCGCCTGTCCCAAATCCTGTTTTATTTTGAGGGGCATCCTCTGTGAGTATAAATAAGCCTCTTGTATGGTAGAGTAGAGTTGACCTCCCATAACCATAGTTGTAAAATAGGAATGGTTGTCTGCATCCAGTAAGGAGTTCACTTGCACAGAATAAAGTTTCATGGAGGAGAATAACTAAAAACTTATCCTCAGGCATATATGGGAGGGAGTCCAAAAGGCACACTCCAGGATCCAATTGAAGGGGTGAGCCCATATGGTCATGCAAAAATGTGATAATTTGTAGCCAGAAGGTCTGAACAGTAGGGCAGGAAAATGTGCCCACCTTTACCAACTTTGACTGAACCATTCTCTATAGGCTAGTAAACTGGTAATTCCAACAAAGAAATCTACAGTAATATTTTTGTCATTTTGTTAATATCCCTTTACAGTTTAAAATGGAACAGAAGGTTCCACCTGTAGAATTTTCAGATATAATGTGCCTTGTGGCTCAGTACCAAAGCAGTCTGCTCTTTTTTTTTTTTTTGCAAGCTCTACATATCCATATAATGTATACCCAGCTACATATGCAGTATAACTGGCAGTAAGAGCAGAACACATCCTTTGGTAAATTAAAGATACATTGCATTTTCAAAGTAGCAACTTGATCAGCACATACTCAGGTAGATCAACTCCCATTGGATGCTGATTTACCATGTGAATTAAACTACTATCACATTTGGAAAGCTGGCAAAAGGAATGATAGTAATCGGTGGTGAAAAATAGCTGGCAAAAGGAATGATAGTAATCGATGGTGAAAAATGCTGTAAGTAACACTGAGGCTTGGCCAGGGTTAAATTGCTAAACCTTGTCAAGAGTGGTAAGTCTTACGTGGGAACCGTGTTAAGCTTGACAGAGGTATCACCATTTACATGTTTCTAGGTCCAGCCCTTTCATCAAGGGCTGGACCTAATTTACAACCACCCTCTAAAACCTATAGGAAGCTATAGAATGGCTGCCCGAATGTTCTTGTCCAGACTGGAGGAGGAAGAACTTTCAGTTTTGCCAAAGAAGTGATATTCTTATCAGTTACACTGACTTCGATTTGCATGCTGGTACATAGAATTCTTCAGTAGCTGGGTGGCTAGATGTTACTGTTCCCTTTTGTACCATCTTTTATTTTTGCTAACAAACTGAATATATTAAGAGATTAGTCAGATTATGTTTCTTTGTTTAGCTAAACCAATGTAGGCTTCCCAATTCAACAGAGAGCAGCAGTGTGAATTCCCTTGTGAATGTATAGATTTGTATCGCCTTAAATCACACTGTGCTGAGGGTCTGTCCTTGATAGATTGAGTTCAGTAGATTTTTCTGCTTGCTGGTTTCAAGTAACAATCTCCTTTTACTCTTTTTATCTAATTCTAGGTGTCGCTATATACACTGGAATGGAATCCAAGATGGCATTAAATTACCAGTCCAAATCACAGAAAAGATCTGCTGTTGAAAAGTAAAGTGTTTTACTGCATTATTTATGACTGTTGTTGTATGTAACAATTTAGCAATGTTGCTGAAGATAACCCACCTCAATCTAAAGCTGGCCATGTACTAGTAGAATTTTGTTTGAAAATTTGAGTTTTACGAATGTTTGTTCAATTTTCTAATTGTTAGTGGGGTCAAATTGAGGCTTGTTTTATCTGCAGTGCCACGAAAATTCAAAGGAGCAGAATGGATTTTTTTTTAACTGCATATGTGGTTTTTGTTTTGGAAACTCCATTCACTCTAAAATCAAATGTTAAACCAAAGTTTTTTTTAAATACTTTCAAACAACATTGGCCAACATTGGTCAAGTAATGGAATATAATGAATAGCATTTTTGTACAAATGTTCATACAAATAATCATTTGATAATCTACCAGTGTATGGCCAGCTGTATAGACTGTGCACCAAAATAAAGGGGGAATTTAGTAAAATAGGAGCACTCAGAATCTGGTGTAGTTGTGCATGGTAGCTTCCAACTTCACGCCGACTGTAGGCAAATATGTGGCCCCACTGGACTGGGCTTTTTCCCATGGGGCTGCTAATTTGCGTACCTGTTTTTGTGCTGCCACATGTGTGCTCCCAGCACAAGTGACTGGGGTCTCATTGAAAGCCCTGGGTCCCATTCTAACAATTGGGACCGGGAACTCCCAATTTCGGGTTACATGATAGCTGTGATACCCTCTGACTGGCTATTATGGTGATCAGTCACTGTGAAGTCGCCCCCATGTTTCCTCTCTCTGATTGGAGGAGAGAGATACATTGTATCTCTCTCTGTCATTTCAAAGAGAAAAAAAAGTGTGTGTAAAAAAAAATAAATAAATAAAAAAAAAATAATATAATTTTAAAATAAAAAAAAACCTAGATTAAGGTTGATCTAGGTCAGTGCCAGGGTTAGTGTTTGGGTCAAGGTCATGGTCAGGTGGGTCAGGATTATTTTTAAATTAGAATCAGTGTTAGTTAGTAGCAGTAGCAGGATAACAAAAAATCAAAATGCGCTCTATTGTTTATGGGCCGTACTAAGGGTACAGACAACAACTAACATACACATATCGCTGCAATTGTTAGGAGCAGGGGAAATTCGTTTGGGTGGTAGGTTATGGTAGCAGCAAGAAATATACAGATACATTTTTTTTTTTAATTATATTTTTACTATTTTGTGCCAGTTTTCCTTTGATAATAAAAAAACTCAGGAGATATCCATTACAATTTACTACCAAATGAAAGCCCAATTTGTCCTGAAAAAAAACAAGGTATAATCCACTTGGATACACAAAGTGGTTGTGATTATATGTACGGTTTTGCTAACAGATGTCAAAGTTGCAAAATTGTGCTTAGGCATTAAGATTTGTTTTAACCTTAGGTGCGAAGGGGTTAGGCTTTGACATTAAAACCTGGAAGCTGATAGGTTTCTATGCACAACTGCACCAGATTTTGCATCCTCCAGTTTTAGTAAATCAACCCCAAAGTTTAGTAAAGAACCTTCCAATACATGCATTAAAATGACTGTCACCAAAAGGCCACTTGTAAACTAAGCGCACCCCATAAAAGAAACCACCTATAGTTGCCTTCCCGGCAGCCTTGTCTTCAAATTTTATGTTTTTACTGCTCCTGTGCCATTGCCAGTATTACACAATTTTGGGTGTGTTTAAATACCTGCTTTCTCTGCCACACATTGTAGTTCCTTCTGCTGGCTTGTACAGTTGTGTCCAAAATTATTCAACCCCCAATGCTGTAAAGGGGTTTAGGGACTATAGTGTACATTTGGAATTGTATTCAGAATCAAATCCTACAAGGACGTTGTAACTACCCAAATGCAACTAAAATGACATCAATTGTTTATGTAATACAGTAGTAAATGGTTCTTATGTGGTTTCTTCATTGCCACAATTATTCAACCCCTTAAAGACTACCACTCTGAAGAACAGAGGTTCATACAGGTGCTTTCCATCAGGTATTGAAAACACCCTGTGGATGTCACCGAGCAGCAATCAAGCATAATAAGCACCAATTAGGCAGCTTTAAAATGACTGTGATACTCAGCTCCTTCTAGACATTTACTGGTGTGGTTACAAACATGGTGAAGGCAAGAGAATGGTCCAGGAAGACAAGAGAAGAGGTGATTTCTCTTCACAGGAAGGGCAATGGCTATAAGAAGATTGCAAAGATGTTAAACATACCAAGAGACACCTTAGGAAGCATCATTCGCAAATTCAAGGCAAAGGGCACTGTTGAAACGCTACCTGGTCGTGGCAGAAAGAAGATGCTGACTTCGACTGCTGTGCGCTACCTGAAGCGTAGAGTGGAGAGAAGTCCCCGTGTGACTGCTGAGGAACTGAGAAAAGATTTGTCAGATGTGGGTACAGAAGTTCAGCCCAGACAATAAGACGCACACTGCGTAATGAAGGCCTCCGTGCCAGAACTCCCAGGCGTACCCCCTTGCTGTCTCCAAAGAATAAGAAGAGTCGACTGCAGTATGCCAAAAGCCATGTGGACAAACCACAAAAGTTGTGGGATAGTGTTCTGTGGACTGATGAAACAAAATTAGAACTGTTTGGGCCCATGGATCAACGCTATGTTTGGAGGAGGAAGAACAAGGCCTATGATGAAAAGAACA